CTGTTGACACTGTCAGAGCAGCTTGGGCAGCCCAATAACTGTTACAATGACAGATGACAAAAGTATCTAATAAAAAATTCCCAAGGTCATTAATTATCTGTCACAACAATTTCTTGTAGTGCTTATGAAATAATGGCCTACCTCTTGTTTTCTAGACCACAGTCTGGATAAAGAAATGCCACTAATCTCTGAAGCTATACTGTACTTGCAAAAGGTATTGGGAAAACAGAATCCTTTGCTCGACTCAGCTCCTTCTCGAAACAGCCTCCCACCCTTGCAGCCTGACAAATGCATTTTCCCCACAGGGCTTGGGAGTAATGCTGCTCCTGCTCCCCAGCACAGTGGAGAAATACACTGTCAGATCTCCATTGCTAAGCAACACAAAGTTCTGCGGCAAGAGCTTCCCACACTGCAGCAGTGGGCAGTTGGCAGCTGGCTCAGCAACTTTCTCCTGGGTCCTGAGGGTTTAAAAGCAGCACTGGTAGCAAAAAGGCTGAGCCAGGCTGTGTAGTGAGACAGGCAATAGGATGCACTGAACAACGTGGTAGGAACCAAGTAGTGTATTTTCAAGTTAAAAACCAACTCAGCTCACTAGCTACCTCAGCTAAATTCTCGAGTTGTTCCCTTGAACACATCTTTCCTGTTAATCAACATACACCTTAAAAGTTCATTTTTCCATGTGTGTAAGCAGCAGCACATCACATTGACATAGAACGTAACAAACAAAAATCTCTCATAAAAGAACTAACAACTTTATTTGGCCATATGTTCAGGAAGAGATATGACACTGCGCTGCAGCCTTAAGGCTCTACTACATAATACAAATGCAACCATAATGTGACTTCATTGACACTTATTTCTTCCTCTTAGAGGACATGATCCCAAGACAGAGCTGAGAGAAATCTCAGCTTAAATTGACCATTTGCATGTCATGCAAAATGAGAGAACAGGAGAGGCATGACAGCACTAGAGATGTACGAGAAAGTGACAAAATACTAATTTCATTAAATCTTTGGTGCATGAGAACAGGCATGTCTCATGTATGCAAGTATCTACATCATTGCAACCGAAGATCTTTTCACACCCTTCAAAACATATCTAGACATGTATCTGTTTATGTATGTATACATTATCAGATCATCTTATGCAACTCATCTCTAGACAAAATACATCCAAATGTGAGGTTTAGAAATGCACTGCTAGTAATATGGGAAGTCTACAGTTTAAGCAAAAGCATATATCAGCACTTTGTCATGCACTTATTACCTGACAAACTGCACATCTTGACTTTATTCTTAGATAGTTAATATTAAGAGAAAAAAAAACCACCCAACCAACCAAAACAAAAAAACACAGCACAAATTTCAGAACTCTCATTTCTGAAATCATCAGGTAAGATGACAGCCCAAAAAATTACTAGTTTTGCTGAGGACAATGTTCTGAATTGCCCAAGGATTGTGGTCTCTTATTTTTTGTTCCTTAAAGTCATTCAGGTTCTTGAATTAACACTGTTTAAGAGAAATAAGATATTGAAGACTGATACAAACCCACTAGTACAAGCTGTGCTATTTAACTTACAAGAAACCATCCTCAAAGCTTGTGCTCCAGTACTTAGTTCATAAGATATTGAAGTAAAAGATGTTCACCTAAGGGTCACCAAACACGTGCAGGGACAAATCACCTTTCTGTTTCAGATGGCTACTCTGATCCTCAAAAGCAAATCTATTCAGATTTCATTACAGCAAGAGAATCCAACAATAGTATCGACCACCCTGATTCTTGCTAAACCCAGAAAATCTTCTGGAGTAAGCACAGTGTTTGCCATGCTTGCTCATTATCTTACATGCATCAGATTCCATCGGCCTTTTCTCTTCACCCTTCCTTTTCTAATGAGAACTTGACCCAGATGCTCTACAACCCTACCTCCACAATAACACCCTGAGGCTGTCATCAGATTATTCTAGCAATTTAAGCAGACCAACAAAGAAGTTAACCTGGTTTTTGGTTGGTTGGGTTTTCTGCATGGGGTTTTGTTGGGGTTGGATTTTTAGCTTAGCTGCTACAGCCAACAGCAGACCTGCAAATAAAATTTTAACTAGAAAGAAAAATTAGAGCTCTCTGTTACACTTTGTACTTGCCTTTTGTATTTTATCTATAGGGAAGGAAGAAATAACAAATCTTGGGATTGCCAACACTTTCAAAAAGAGGCAACTTTCACAAAAAATAGGAGCATATTCCCTATTTCACCAACACAGAACCTATAACGGTTTGTTTTATAGGTCATCTAAATAAATGTAACAGTCTTTAAAAGCCCACCGATTTCCAGTCATGCTTTCTCAAAGAAGCACCATGCTATTTATGCTGTGATCCAGCAGTTGAAGGGTACATTATGATTTAACTACTGACTGCAAAGTTTGATAGGCAACATGCTTAGCAGGCTTGACTTCACAAATTACAGTCACTCGGTCCGACATCTCAAAAAGACTGGTAAGAGTTTCTAGTTGTAGGTTAACTAAAGCAAACCCAGCAGGTTTTACTATCTACGTGAAACTAGTCATTGGGGCGGCCATTGGCATGCTTCAGTGCGGCACAGAGCAGCTTGCTTTAATGTTTCTCCCCTTCCTTATTTTTTTAGAGACTTAAGATTTCTGAGAGCAAAGCAGGCCACATTCTCTCCCCTTCTTTTATTCCAGTCTGAACCCTGCTAGATCTTGCAATGTTTGGAACACTGATGTTCCTCTTGGCATAGACATAGATATACACCATTCTAGAGGGAAAGAAAAGACCTACAGGGAAGATTAATGGCTTATTTGCCTTCTAAATTGAATTGTGTTTACCTCACTTGAGAGTTATCAGTAAACCCTATTTCCTAAAGATTAATGCAGAGGGTTCCAATGTCAACAGACGATACCATCTCCATGCTGAAACTAGCAGACGTGCTGTGAATTGCAATGGAAGTACAACAGACTGCAGTAATAGCACAAAATAGTTTGGGTCAAATCATCTTTGAGGTGAATAATAAAAACAGGTTTTGCTGAGCAGCTTCTTATTAAAAATAGCATCAGATTTAAAAAAGAACTACGTAATGCTTCTATAAAGGCAAATACCACTGGGAACGGTGTCATTATAGGCAACAGAAATTGTATTGTTATTGATAGTACTTTACCAACCTAAACATTCCTCATTACAAAGACCAATTTTCACCCCCACCTCCTTCTCACCAGCCACCCACCAAAATCAACAATAGCTGATTCTATTTCTAGACCTGGTATATACTGAAGACTACACATTTCAGGAAACTTTTACATATGAAATAGCCCTGAACAGAGCAATCATGACATGACTAGCTAAAAATGAAATGGTACGAAATAGCATCTGGATTGTAAGAGGACAAACACTTGGGGAATTTGCAGCTAGAGTCAGCTAGGATAAGAGAATCACAGAAGTTAAATGTGGAGGAAGACTGCAATTTCTTTCAGGCAGCAATGCCAAAATTCCAAGGAAAAAACATTCCAAAGAAGGGATTAAAAAAAAAAAAAAATTAGAAATCCTCCAGACTCATTAGGAAACACATGAGAAACAAGCAGAGGAAGAATGGAAAGAAAAGGCTAGAGTTATATTGTCATTCAAAATGGCTTCAAAATATTGCGCTAGTCACAATAAAAACAAACATTGGAAAAATGTTTTCCTGCCATATAAAGAGAAAACCCTAACTTCATAGAGAGTCCAGGTTACAAACTAAGGCTGATCTAAAATTATACTTGGCACATAAAGCAACAGAATTGCATGTAAATTCAACAGCAAAGACTACATGATCATACAGGCGAACACTGACAGACCTATAATATAAAGAAAAGCCATAAATTAGAGATAGCATACAATTAAGTCACAAGGAGCTTCAGAAGAGATTTTTCTAATAGAAATGAAAGCAGTGCCAACGTGCAATGCAGCAAAGAGAAAGTACTTAAGAATTACTACATAATACTTGCTGGGAATCTAAAATCTCCTTCTGACCATCATGGCAGAAGCCTGTCACTCCAGTACCCCTTCAGCCTCACACTCTCTCCTTATGCTATACTCAGTGCTGACTACATCTTCGACTCTCAATTTCACTCTTCAAACTCCTTGTCCAGTACAGATGCTTTATTTTCTCCTGAGCATGCTAACTTAATCATCTCCCCCCAACCCAGTCATTGTCTTTATAAAGAAATCTAAAGAAATTTAACAATATCAGCTTTCACATCATACTGAAGTGTAAGAAACCAGGTTCCAGTACCTGACCAAAAGTAATCAATGCCAGGATCTAAGGGGTTTGCTTACAGTACAGGTGAACAGTCCTTACCGCACGTAGGGTTAGTACAGCAGCTAAGATTATTCTCCTATGGATTTAAACAGGCTTCTGCACACCAGAAGGATGGAGGGAAGGGATTTATTTGAGGGCAGGTTTTCAAAACTTGCCCTTATCATCAAAATTCTATATTTTGAATGTTTTGGGTTTTTTTTTCCCTTTCATTCCAGTCTACAGGTTCAGGAGCAAGTCACACATCAAGTAACAATGTCACCTCCACTTTATCAAGATCTTGTTTTAAAAACCGCTTTAAATTTCACATAGGTCCTAGCAGTGTTTTGGCATCTTGCAGAAGCATTTTGTCTTGAACCACATTCTCATGGAATTAAACACAAAGACCTAGGTAAGATGAGGTTGTTAAAAAAAATAATCATTTATATTCATAAACAGACACAGTTTAGCTTTGGCAACAACATGAATATATTAAACCCCAAAGGAGAGTTTAGTGAAATAAGTCACTGAAGTATCCCTGAAATAAGCAATACACTTCTACCGTGCACACTTCAAAAGATTTATATTAAAATAGAATTTATTAGGAAATCTAGGTCGACTTTCAAAGAGGGTGGCGTGGACAGAAATGTTAAAACCAAAAAGCAAGCAACCAAACAAAAGAAAATCCCCAAACCCCCCACCAAACCAGAAAACAGCCTACCAAATATGTTGGTGGAATGTCCTTTCCGGGCAATTGGTTTGAGCTCATTATGTCCCCATCCATATTGCCTATAATTGTCCCAGGCATGCTTCATCATCTAAGAGATGGGGGGGAAAAACAAAAAGGATTTGATTACATTATAAAATTACTTTATACAAATACAGTATTTTACTCCTTGAGACTTTATCTTTTGCAGTCATCCTAGCACACTGATAATTACTTTGCTGCTATTTCCATCTGTTACAGAAATCAGATTATACAGCATGAATAAATTTGGAAACAACTTTAAGTCTATTTGGCTCAAGCTATAGAGCCTAATGCTCTGCATTAGGTACTTTTCTTGTTCTTTCTTTCTTTTCCTTAAATATACACACAGACATTTAAGAATTCAGGCATTAGGAACTGGTGGAAAGTACTGGCAGAAAGTACTGGCTAACATCTAAGACACTAACCAAAAGGAAAAAACAGCTACCAATATCTGGAGCATGTGAGGGAGTCATTTACACTGGTGCATCCAAGTATAACCACATAATTTTGCAAAAGGCATAATACATTTTTTTATTAGCAACACTCAGTTGACAAAAATACACTGTCTTACAGCCTCTACCGAAAGAAATGCCAGAAGCTTTGTTCTTTAGAAAGCATAATGAACAAAGCAGTACAAAATTGTCAATATTTACTCCACAAAACATTCTCAGCTCCTCGTAACAGGTGTTTCCATCACCTAGCAAGCAAGTTACATCTAAGAAACAAAAGGTCTTCTTGACCCACAAGCATTAGCTGTGCACATCAACTGCTAAGCAGCGCTTTTATGGATTTGCTAAAGCTTTTCAAAGTTCTTGCTTGCTGGTTACAGCAAAAATTCAGTGGCTACCAAATTGCAAAGCAAATACAATTAAAATAAAAACAAAAATAAAATTATCAGTTACCTAAACAGATCAAAGCAAGTAATAGAAAGACTCCAAAGGACACTGCCCCAGACACAAGAACAGTTGGGAATAAACCAGTTCTAAAACAGCGGCCATGTGGCTGTATTCACAATGTTCAACGTATTTTTTACATTACTGCTTCAAAATCACATTAAAACACTGTTAATATAAACAAAAAACCCGAGAAAATGTATAGGACTTAAGTCACAATTTTCACAAGTTTAAAAAATACTCTCTAAGATGAGAAACTATGCTAATGTAACTAACAGACCAACACTAAGCCTTTTAAGAAACTGATTATATCAGGGCAAGTAAAGTTTTCTCCAGTTTACAAGACTGTAGCTTCCTTATTTTAATCACAGGGTCACCGTGCTCATAGAAAATGGGAGGGAATAAGGAAGTGCTAGCTAAAAAGTCAAGTGCAGTCAGCTGCCTTAGCAGCACTCCCTGACATAGACACAGTTCTCTCACTGAGTTCAGGATATAGTGGAAGTCAGCATCAAACTGCACCTAAACTGCATGCTGAGACATGCCCTGTCTCGCTGCAGCTATGAAGAGATCCCTGACCAAACTACACAGCTGTAATTCCTTTGACCATAAACCCCCTCTAAATTTCCCATGGCTCAGTTAACTCACGGCCAGACAATAAATGTGAACCACAGCAAAGGTATACGCACAGGCCTAGCAGCTGGGGAGAACTCCTGTGTTAAACCGACATCAACCTAGGCAGAGATGTCCCTCTCAAGATGCCAGAGGTCCCACTCCTACTGCTTGTCAAAGTCAGCTCACGTGTTGCTTTTTGTATTTGCACTAAAAGATTCTGACACCTGATTAGGCAATAATACGGTATTGTTTCTTTTAGTGTCACCAACCTGCAATGTAAGAAAAAGAGGATGCAAATATTATACTAAAAAAGGAGAGAAAAGCCATTTCATTAGCCTTCACAAATTCCTTACTGTTTACAAAGCATGTATCAAATTGACCAGTTAGTAGCTATTAGAACTTCAAGATGACTCAGGTAAAATGAGCCTCTCTTGACAGGTAACAAAACTAGAGCGTGACAAACGCAATAAAAGCCTGATCACAGGCAGAAGTTCCTTCAAGATCTCTTGCTAACCATACCCAGAATTAACCTACACATTTTTATATCGTATTGTTTACCAATTTAATATCATGGAATCAAGAATCACATCCTCATTCAGCAGGAAAGGACCTCAGGATGTCTCCAATTTAACCTCCTATTCAAAGCAGTATCAGTTATGGGATCAGACTGGGCTACTCAAGGTTTTACCCAGTCAGAATGGGACAGTCAAGACCTCCGTGAAGTGTTCTGCTCTAACTCATGGTTTGCCAGTCTACTTTTAAGTCCTAAAAACTCCACTTGGGAAAACAGACTTACAGTTTTAGAAAGCATTAGATGGCAAAACTAAAGAATTACTGACCACTGTGCTCTATGCGAGTTTGGTAACAGATGTCTACACAACAAGGTGACCATGACACGGCAGATCTAACCAACTTGCTTCCACAAAATGGAAACTGAGCTTCTGAGACCTTAGGATGTGTCAGCTATTTCATTAAGAATAACCAAATGACCGCTGACATTTATCTCTTTAAAAATCTCTAAGTGTTGGCAACTCCAGTATAAACCAAAACTAGTGAAGTCCAAAATAAGAACAACAACTTGCTTCCCCATGGGAGAATGTTAATGGTAGAATATTTCACTGTCCCAGTTCGCTTCTGGAAGGAAGATACAGATTTTATTACAGACTGTTTAGTTCTGAGAAAACCCAAGAAAAGTATGGAAATGACAAAGGGCTAAAACAGACTAAATCACAGTCTGTTTCTATATCATTAAGGGAAAATTTATCCTAAGATAAAATTCCAGTAAGACAGAAACTGTAAAGGAGTCAATTTTACTAGATTCATGAATTAATGCAGAAGTAACTTAAGAATACACTGCTGAGACCAGAAACTGCTGAACATAAGAGACCAAAAACAGGTGACTGCATCATTCAAGGTTCTAGGATAGGAAATCATCTTTTGAGATTAAGCTACTTTGATAATCACAGACAAATGTTCTGTCCTGTGCCATCTGCCTCCCCCAAGCAGTGTACAAAGAACATGGTGCTATAACTCCTCAAGAGTATTTTGACTTCACTATACTAATTCTTCAACTGATTTTTTTCCAGATGAACACTGGATATTACTCTGGGACAGAGCTCATCAGCACCAAGTGAGCAGACTTTAGGGTATCATGTTAGCAAATGATCGCATGCTACATGCAAGTGAGAAACCCCACAGCTCTTGTGCTCGTAAGGATGACATGCCAAGAGATCTTATAACAACACTGAGATTTCTGTTACTACTGGAGCTGGTAGCATGATACACTATAGATACAGCATCTATACTACTGGGAGCAGCTGTGCACACAGAAGCTTTTGAGAGATAAAATATGATAAATGCATCTGCCAGTTAAAAATTGAACAGAGGATGCCACTTTAGGTCAGGAAGTACAGGCAATGTGAACTACTGATCTGAAAAACAGGATTCTCTCTGTGAAAGTGCCAGGCATCATTTGCATAGTGAAGGGTGGAAATGCTGAGGAAGAGCTGCAGGTATAGATAGGCTTTTCCTCAAAAAACAAACAGACAAACTGGTCTTTAAAAGGAGACAGAGAGGTCTTAGAAACTGACTGGAACATCACCATTAATGATAACAGAAAAAAGGCAAAAAAATACTTGCAAAAAACCACCCCCAACCCTTAAAGAACCCATGCAGAGGAATCCTAAGCTCAGCAGATTGAGAGTAACAAGCTGGTTCAAGCATGGATCAATAATCATGAAAAAGGCAAGGCAGAGATTTCTGTAACTGAAGTTTCCATACCTAACAGCAGTCTGTCAAAGTGAGCGCTTGGAGCTTGATGACATATCATATAAAGATCTTCCAATCTGTCCACCAGAGAACAAATAGTTTTAGTGATGGACTTTTTATTGACACTTTTCATGCCAGATTTTGCTTTTGAAAGCAAAACAGAGGATAGGTCCAGTGAATAATAGCCTTGAAAATGTTTATTATGGGATGCACCACATACAACAGCCAGCAAGATGTTGTTGCATGTGCAACTTGTTAGCTCAACAAAAAAATGAATTTGGACTCTGCTGAAAGCAAGCCAGAATGGCAAGAAGCAGGGCATGTCAAATGAAACCAGTTTTGTAGGTACACCATTATCTAGATGCTTTTACTAACTTTAGAACACGTTCATAGGATCTGATGATCTTCTGTAGTCACTAGGAAATCAGTTTTTTTACAGAGACAGAGCAGTAATGATGCCTTTGACAAAATGATAATCACAACAGTAAAAGGGGGTTACAGTAATGGAAAAGAGACTTTAGTAAGGGAGTTCTATCACTACAGCAGCATGTTAGAAACAGTAATTCAAACCAAAGACTGGTTCAAAAGCCCCTTTCCACTCTTCAAAAAAGGGCAGACACATAGCAAACAGAAAATAAGAGTCCTGAAAAATCAGCAAAGGAAATAATTTACTGGCAAATTGCAATATATACTGGTTGTGCCTAGAAACAAGAAGCTTACCCTCTTCCTGCCCTTCCATCAGGAATGTGCGTAAGAGACAGCAAATAGAGTTTGCTTTCAAAGGAATGTATTCTGGTCAAGGGTAGAATTTCAAGATATTTATATAAGCCACCTTCAAATGCTGTTTTAAAATTAACCCAGAACTTGCTAGACAATATCACTGCTCAGCTGGCAGATTAAAAATTAAAAACCACTTTCCTACTGTTTGTAGAGAATATTTTTTGGACATTCAAGAATGACCTTTTCCTTTTATAGGTACTCACATTTCTGAAGAAACCTGGAAAAATCATACAGGTTATATTATTCTTTTGGGAGCTACAAATCTCTACCTAAAGAGAAATTCTTTCAGGCATCAGTCTATGACTCCTTCATGCGTTTCTGAACACTGCCAATGAAAAGGTCTGGAGCATGTTCCTAATGGACACAGAAAGCTGAGGGGTTTTTTTTTACTGATGAATCTGGTAACAAATCAATTACAAAAATAAAACTGGTTACCAAATGTGTACAAAATGGGAAGCTTGTCCGTTTTTGTTGGCAGGAAATACTTGAAGTCTAAGATGCCTGATGGGACTCTCAG